CCCGCACCACAACAACCAGCCCCGGAAACACCACAATTCTACCAGTTGTAAGTTACTTGACTCCGTCCACCTGGAATTTAAAAGAAAACTAATAGCCAGTGTTTTACCAGAGTATATTCTTACTTACACAACTATTCTATGAAATTAGGTACATACCTAGAATACATAGAATGCATTGAGTTGTTCTAGAAATATATAAACTACTAGCTGTTGCTCGCGACTTCCTCCGCGTGATATTAAAAAATAGTAAAAATGTCTATGTTACTCCTAGTAGTTTTTAATTTTTTTTTAATACAAATAAAAATATAAATCTTTCCTCTATAATATTAGTATAGAAGACAAATGGCCGAATACTGAAACGGCATTTAAATATGTAACAGTCTTATTATAATACTACAAAATTCGACAAGTAAGCAACGGCTTAATACTAAAGTTTCGATGGATGGATGGATATTAGAGTTTGTAGCCTAAACGATTGTACGAATCTTGATGAAATTTGGCATAAATGTTGAACAAAGTCTTCTTACTTACACATACACATAGGCTTCTTACTTTTTTTTAATCCCACGCAAAGTATCAAAAAGTTAGATTTGGTAATAAACATTGAGAATAAATTTGTATTATGTTTCCAGCGACGTGTGCGGGCGAGTCGCCGGTGCGCGAGGGGGATGCTGGTGGTGGAGGTGGCGGTGGTGCGGGGGCGGAGGCGCGCGTGGAGGACGGCAAGCTGTGGTACGAGCGGCGCTGGTTCCACCGCGGACAGAGCGTGTACGTGGAGGCACGGGGCCGGGAGATAGGGCGCTTCGCCGGACATATACACGCCATCACTGATGAAGCGGTCAGTATTACTCTAACATCTAGAAGCCCCGGGGCTCTAAGCTTACTGTAAGTTAGGGGTAACTGGTTTAGGAACATCCCAGATCTCCCCTCCATTGCATTTAAAGTTTGTTACCATGGGTTTTAATAAATCAAACCCTATATAACCCTGTCTATCTCGAGAGGTATCTTTTTAAGATTTACTTCAATACAAAATAAGGGGGTTACTGGCCCATATCTTTAAATTTCTTCATAGATATGTGCAATTTTTTTTTCATCATCAACGTTGGGGTAAATGTACATATTAAAACCATAAATTTAACACATTAGAACCTCGATAACTCAAACCTCCGTAACATCAAAACCTCTATAACTTAAAATATTTTGTGTTTCCCTTAGACTTTAACTTATCAAGGTTCTACTATGTCTGGATTTAAACCCAACCTGCATATTATAAGTCAAGAGTCACATCAACATATCCCTTATATATCTTTATTTATTTTGTTCCAGATATGGGTGAAGAAAACGAATCTGGAGCGCGTGAGGATATACGTGTCTCAGTTAGCGCGGGGCAAAGTGACGTTAAAGAGACGGGCCTCGTAACTCAGTGCTACACTGTGTAACTCATCTGTATATAGTTATCGTAACTCAGTGTTACACTGTGCAACATATTTGTACATAATTTGTAACGTTACACTGTGAAACATGAAAAATTGGTGTGGAGCATGAAAAATTTCGTACCTCTTGACGAACCAGTGGTGAGAAACATTTTTATCTAAGTAGTTTGAACTATAAGCAATTTCCGGAATAAGTATGCTTTGTTAATAACCACAAACCTTTAGATATCTTAGAACATGTGTATGAGTGAAATACAAGATAAAAAATTAAAAATCAACGTATAATTGCTTAAATTATTAATTACAGGAAGATTTATTTATATTGTATTTCATTACATAACTCAACAAGTCAAAAAAGTCATGTGTACAAGAAAAAAATGCTTCTAAACAAAAGGTTTACAATTCCTCAAAGAGTAAGCGAGACGCTAAATATTTACATAGGAGTGATAGAGATGGATAATAACGTAAATGTACGAAATTGTTCATGTTCCGGAATATAGTTAGTTTTACACCAATTTCTGTATATAGTTTACTTGTTTGTGTTGAAATGGGATATAACTGAATGGTTGTGCCAAGGATACATTGAAAGCGTAATCCAACTATACAATTACATGTTACCGATCAATCGTGAATACCGTCTGTTTGAAATTTGACTAGATTTTTTTTTTTTTTTCATATGGATATTTATATTATTTTCATCTTAATTACCTGAAGTTTCAAATTTGATATAGGGGTTATTGGCATCTATAATCGATTTAATTTGAGCACTAGGCTGTCTCCATGTCACGTTTGATAGTAAAAAGATTGAAAACAAAAAGGAGCCTTTAACGAAAATGTTGCTAGCTTTAAAGTTATGGATTTTTCGCACAATTTGGAAGGACAATGTGTAAAACTATCATTTTTTTACTACATTTCTCATTAGTAAATACAGTAAAGTGTACATTCATGTATTTTTTAATTCGATTCATAAACTCAGCCTTTTAAGGATTAATTGTTGGTCCTTAGTTGTCATTTCTATTACGCCAAAGTGTCAACAATGGATTATGAATGAAGTTTTACAAATTGACGAATTTTGACCGTCACTTTATGAATTCGTTGATATCGCTATTTACTGAATACAATTAAAGGTAAATTCAAAATTGATGGTTTTGACGATTGGTTGTCTTTTTACATGTTCAAGATTTCTACCTTTTGGTTTATTAAAAATGCATTGCATATATTTATTACAATGGATTCCTTTATATATGTTTATTGTTTTGTGTAAATTATGTTTGTATATTTTTGCAAACAATATCTAGGCAAAGATTTTCTATATTAGTTATGGCTAAATCTAAACAATTATTTCATCAAAAATGTGAATACACTTAATAAATATCAATAATTTAAAATCAAAACAGTATGCTTAGATTGTTTTATGACCGACTTCCCAAAAGAAGGATTCGATTCATCTGTTTTTTTTTTATTTTTTTTTTGTTTATTATGAGTCAGATTTTTTACTACAATATAGTAAATTATTTGATTATACAAACAGTATTCAAATTTGTAAATACTTTGTGATGCTATAAATGTGTAGTTTTCAATATCACTTGGTAAAATATACCCTTTTTCTGTGATAAACATTTGTACATATTAAGATAATTTCACTGAGCAAGTTCCTGTAGTGAGATTAACGTTTCTTGATACTTGCGTTATTTTTTATAAGCCGACCAGATTTATAATTTTCATATTTCACGGATGTATTTATTTATTTCTATATCAAAAGCCAGTGACAAAATTATACCTGTCATATAATAGGCCTATTTTGAAAACTATGAAAATCAAATAAAATAAAACAAAATTTTTAATTCATTCATTATGATGTAGGAATAACTATCATAGTTTATACTTACTAGCTGTTGCCCGCGACTTCGTCCACGCAATATTAAGATAAAAAAAAGTAGTGTATCCATTTATGACAGCTACCCTTCAGTGAAAGACAGACAGACAAAAAAAAATTAAAATTTTTAAAACATAGTCTGGAAAAACATATAGGCTACTCATTATTTGTTTAATACCTTGCGAACGTAGTCGCAGGCAATAGCTAGTGATGTAATAAATGGCAATTTTCAATTTATAGTACATCTAAGCAGTTTTCAAAATAGGTCTAATTTGTGACGTAAATTGTGTATAGAAATAGCATTTAGTTTGTTTAAAATTTATTTTCTGCTACTATTGTTAATTTAGCATGAATATTTGACCATATATGACTCAGTGCAATTATGCTGATGAATTAAAAACGCCTAGGGTTAAAAGGGGATGAAAAAATCTTAAATTAATGAACTAAAGGTGAAACCTAAAAAATATATTACCTCTATAAGAGTCTCAGGGGTACTATTTATTTTAATACTATTAATGTTTTCTTGGTGTTTTTAAATTATTAGCCAAACAATAAAAATGTCAGAACAATGTACTGATATTGTAAAGAGGAAATATTTGTATTTTTGTATGTATTGAAATAACTCAAAAACTACTGGGCAGATTTTAAAAATTCTTTCACCATTACAAAGGTAATTTGTCTATTAGTAACAAGGGCGATATTTTATTATTTTTTTAATCTCACGGATAAAGTCGTGAGCAACTAGTTGTATATATTCCGAAATGTAATATATTGATCAAATACTTGTACAGGCAGTTTTTGGACTGAATTATTTTATTTCTGATGTTTTTTTTTACATTTTGTGATCTAATTGTTATGTGTAAATGTTGTGAATTGTAAATATGTGCAAATTGTACATGTAGATGATATTTGAGAACAAGATCTTGAATTATATGTAATATAAGTAATTATTTTCTTTTATTTACCACAAATATTATAAGCAAGGCAGAATAATGCCTATTTAACGGTCCTATCGGTCCTAACGGTCCTCAAAGTATAACGGCCATAGGTTGGGTTATTTACTCTACAACTAAATCACGTGAAAGTGCTAATTAATTAAGATTTTTACAATAAAAATCTATCACAATTAGCAAAATCACATCAATATATGTTTTTGTAATTTTGTTCTCTATCAATATCAGAACCCATGTTTAAATACACTTGCGTTAAATTTTAGAATTATCTTTGAGATTTTATGACAGTGGAAGTAACTGAATACATAGAAAATATATTTTAAACATCTTTTTTATATCAATGTCTATCAAGAAACTAGATCAACAAGATAAAGACCTTGAAAGTCGCTTGTTTTTTGTACAATAATGCGGAAGGTATTGAAGTAATTATTAAACAAAAAAACTACACTTGTTTATTAACGGACGATGACGTTATTTTATATCTTAGATGTACATTATATGGCGAAGGAAAGATTTTATTTTAAACCCAGAGACTTTTAGATCCCTAATAAAATAATGTGATCATAGTATTGGATTCCGAATAAAAAAGAAATTATATTCCAGGTGTGAAGTAAATCGTTACGCAACGAACAAAGCTCCTGACGTTTTTTAATAGCAATTATTCCTGATTTAAAATATTAGCAATTGACAAGTAACATCAATTGTCCATAGTCTTGTTTTTTGCTCCTAAATTGTGGTGGAATTAATGCTTGTTGCTACAGCAAACAAGTTTAATCAAATCTAATGTCAAAGGCAATTATAATAATTAAATTCTAATAAACTTACTCGGGAATTAAGATAATTTAGTTATGTTAAAAATAATGAAAAGGCCAGATACTCGAGAAGTCATTTTAGAAGAATATTCTGTGATTCGAGGTTTCTTAGGTTAAGTGAGACAATATTTTAAAACTTGGAAATATCAGAAACTCATTATAATAAATGATAGGATACATATCTTGTATCTTTTATTTTAGAAAATAATCTAAAATCTAAAATAATTGATAAAGTTTTTTATTTTTTCTAACATAACAGATTATATATTTTATTTAATGAAATTGATTTCTGACTTGCCAGTTTTAAAATATTACATAACATGTCTTAAAAACTACCGTTATGAAAATATTAACAAAAATAACCGTAAACCGTATTTTACGTTCCTAACGAAAAAAAAGAATGATTTATCTTCGAATCCGCCTTTTTTGTTTGGACCATACAATTTTTGTTAATTTATAATCTATAGTAGTCATTACGCATTAACTTATCAGTAGTATATCTGAATGTAGCTATGGATGATGCATTTTATATGCAAATCGAAGGTTTTTTTTCCGGCACGACGGATTTAGTACATATTGTCGAAGGTAGACCACTTATTGGAGACTGGTATCTAAATTACGACTACATATTTGCTCTGCGCCCACGGACTAACGTCACCTTTTGTCAGATCCGATCTCGTACTCCTAACAAGAATGTAGCGACAGATAATAGGTGTTTTAATTGCTTTTACAAGCAATTTAAGGGAAGTGGGGGGTAAGATCTATTTGGGGTTGTAGGAACTTAGTATTTTGAATATTTCTTGTTTTCATTTTAAAACTTTCGACTCTAATCGAAGCCCATAATAAGACTTCTATCCTTAGCATTTTGAGAACACTTAACCAATCTCTTAACCGACATTTAGAGATCGGGTCGTTAGGTTAACGAGGTGTGATTTAAAAAGAATTTTACCATACAAGCATGTGTCGTGTTATTCGAATTTTATTTAATCGATACTTCGACCCAATACTTAATTAAGGAGTATTAATAAAAATTGAATTACTAAAGATAAATTTAATTCTAAGTTATATCTGTTTGACATTATTTTATTAAATAGTTAGAGAAAATTATTTTAAAGTTTTTTCGCAGTTATCTGAACCGTGAAGCACGCGAAATACGCTCAGTTTTGACAATTTCAACCGTACAGTCGAACTGTTCAGTTAAAACTGTGCATTTGTAGGTTTTTACTGACAATTAATATTTTGCATACATACGGACTGTTCGGTTCAAACGGTCATTTAGGACTGAGCATATGTAGCGGGCTTAGGGCTTTTAATATCATATTTTAATGATGTCACAAGTTTGTAAGCAGTAAAAGTTGAAAAATAATGTGCATTTTTATAAAATAATACAATTAAATAATATGTAACTATATGAATGTTAAAGTCACGGACGTTCAAATGTTTGGTGAGCGGCACTGGGGCGTGTGGCACCGTCGCGGCGGCCCTTCATTTTTTAATAAACAACACGAAATTATCGATACATTTTGATCGCATTCAGTTTTATGAATGGGCGAATGGGATTATAGTATGACTTGCGATTTAAAAAGACCAAGTTTGTGTTCAGAGATCTATATCAAATATTTGTATATGGGATGCAGTTAATACTGGCAATATTATGTTTCAGAATCGGTTTTTAGTTGACTTCAAAAAGGTGGTTTATTTTTTTTTGTTATCTCTGCCCTGTTTGATTTGCATGTTACTAATTTTATAAATGCGAAAGTTTAGATGGATGGATGTTTGTTAGAGTTTGTAGTATAAACGGCTGAACGAATGGTGATGAAATTCGGCATAGATGTAGAGAATAGTCTGAAAGAACACATAGGCTACTTACCTTTTGTTGTTTCTTATAATTTCACGCGGAAGGAGTCACGGGCGAAAGCTGATAATTCACAAGGTAGAGCGTATCATTTAGTCCCATTTTTAAGCTAACTTAAAATTATATCAAGTTAACAATAAAGTTTTTACATTTCATAATTGCCTTTTTATTAGTAGATAGTACCGTGGAAGCTATTTTTTCTGTGTAATAAAAACTTTGCTTGTAATCTAATCATACATTTACGACGCTGTTTGTTTAAATTTCGACGAATAAGGTATTATTCGATTACCCAAATCCGTTTATTAGCTTTTAATGTGAGATTTGATTTAAAACCGTTTATACCTTTTTAGGGAAGACCGCTTCTGAGTTTGAGAGTACTTTTTTAGTTTTGTTTCTCCTTTAAATGAATCTTTTAGAATTGTTCTGAAGTATAATCTACAGGTCTTGAGTTCGAATCCCGCCATGTACCAATGTGATTTTCGATTTTTCGAATATTCATATCTACATAATTTACCCGACGTTCTTACGGTGAAGGAAAACATCATGATGCAACCTGCACATATCAGCGAAGAAATTAGATATGTGTGAAGTCAACCAACCCGCAATCGGGTCAGCGTGGTTGACTATGGCCTAGTCTAGTTTAGGGTAGGCTCCGAGCCCCTCGTTGGGGACGTTTAGTGAGCTGGTGATGATGATGATGATGATGATGATGATGATACAGAATGAATTAAGACTTGATGTTTGACTCCTTAGTCGTGTTAAGTCCTTGTAACTAGAAGTTATACTTTTCCTTTAGAGGAATACTTTGTTACTTGTAAATGTGGGTTGTTCTCTTCTAAGATTGCTAAATGGTATATTGCCTTAACAGTCTTGTCAAGTAGAGTGAAAGAGACAACAATATGTATATGAGTTGCACGGCAGAGGAATTCAACTAATTATCTCTTATGATATTGTCATAGAAAAGACATCAACGTTTGTAAAAAGATGGCAATTCGCAAATTCTATCGTGAACCTAACATTTGCAATAGAAAAAAATAAATCTCTTCAACTTAATGTGTTTACACGCTCTAAACCTTTTAGCAAATTATCTCTTGAGGATTAGATGGTTGGTCATAAATATTTTATAGACATTTTGATTAATATGAGACTTCGATTTATATTCTTATCTTTCCGAGTTTACGATCTAACGGTCGTGAATTCGAGAGATATTACAGCAATAGGCAAAAGCGTTACTAAGTCAGCCAATTTAAGATAATTTTTTCTTCTAAAGCATATTTATTTGCTTGTTTATTCTATATTTTTATTTACGTAAATTGTTATTAAAAGTATATTTATATATTTTTATCAAAGAGAATGGTATTAAAAGCATAAACAATAATTATAGTTATGACAAAAGATGTATTGTTGTAGCGAATATGATGAAGATTTCCGCGTAATTGACAGATGGGACTCTGAACTAGCTTTCGGTCGCGACTCCGTCCGCGTGGAATTAAAAAAACAACAAAAGTATCTATACTGTCCTCTACATCTATGTCAAATTTCATCGAAATCCGTTAAGCCGTTTAGGCTACAAACTCTAACAAACATTCATCCATCTAAACTTTCGCATTTATAATATAAGTATGATTAAAATTCGAATAAACACTCGAAAAACGTGTGTTTTAGTAGAATACTGATTTAAAAGGGACACATGTAGCTTACAAAAACATGAAAAGGACGCCTTATTAGTTATGTATTTTGGTTGTGATGAAATTAAACTTGAACGATTGTTTTGATGTCACCAGGAAAACGTCAACATTACCGTGAATCATGTCGTCGCATTCAATTAGCGATGAACGACTGAGGCGTTTGAATCGGTACATCACAGCCAAAACTTCTATCCAAATACAGTTACGTGGTGTGATGGACAAAGTCAATTTATAAAGTCGATGTCCTGCGAGTTTGTTAGCCAGTCTCGGATGTACCGCGCGACGAGCCATTCAAAAGCCCGCTATCGAAGCGACGCTACCGCTCCCAAAATATATTTTTGAAAAACGCAATATCGGTTTTGGTATCGACTACCGATTGTCATTCAGCGCACGCATAGCGTCCTAGGCCGTCCGCCGCGACACGCCACTGACACATTTCTACGGTTTCGCGCGCTTTTAGAATTTAGAACAGTTTTGTTTTTTTTTCTTTCGGTTCGGTGCTACCAATACTTGTGCCAGAGACACGTGCAAAGAAAATTGTGAAATTCAACAATAATATTCTAATTGGATTTATTGGGGTAAGTTTTGTTAATAAATTAAATGTGAATTAAACAAGCTTGAAAGTTGAAACAGTTTTTAAGTAATATTTTTTTAAAAGGTCAACTCAATGTTTCTGTACGTTAGGTTTTTTTTTATGGAGGTAGCAACTAGCATAGGGTGTAGTAGTAAAGATAATTAATTAATTGATTTTTTGTAGCAAAATTAGTGATTTTACATTATTTCTAACAGCTTACTCTATCTTTCGCCTTTTGACAAATCTCCAAAAAAAATTCTTTAAGACGATTTAGTTTTTTTGGTAATAATTTATAACATGTCATAACAAGTTATTATTTTCTTTTGAATCGAGACAACTTAATTAAGCAATAAATGAGAAAATAATAAATAAAAATCAATAAATCTGGTATGTCATAAAAAAGGTTATTGGATTTTATATTCATTACTTTAATAAATAAAAGTAACGCTTGTAAAATGGCTTTAGACACTTTTATAGAACTTAAGGACAACGCGTGGCAACACGAAAGTGATCTATTAATTGTAATTTTATTCATTAAACAAACATTTTAAACTCTATTTCTAAACGATTAGAGTCTACATTTACTTCAAAACTCAAATGTTTTTCGCGTAAAATTTACACAGATAACAAAAAGAGGTAATAAAAAAAACTATTTAAGCTGTGTTAAAGCTAATGAACCAAACAAAAACATGGCGAAGTATTAACAAACTCGAACCGGTAATATTAAAGCGACTGACATTTCCAATTAAAAAAAAAGATGACCATCGACATTATCTTTTATTTTCTGTGATACGAAGTAATAGGCCGCAGAGCTATGCAAATCAGATATCAAATAAATACGTTATTACATTACATTTTTCTGCGTCTTGGCTAACATTAAACGATAATAAAACGAGGAAAGTGGCGAAATAATGCTTCAATACTTTCATACCAACAAACCCCGCAAGTAAACATTAGTAAAATTTGCATCAAACATAGTACCTGTTCATTATAGTTAATATTTTCAACATTAGTCTTCTTGCAAAAATCAAGCACAAAAAGCAAGACACCTTTCAGAAAACAACATTATTTAAAGATAAAATTATATTAGGACTACGATTTGTACGCTTACAAATTAAAAAAAAACAGTTCATAGAGTATAAAAGTAATCAATTTATCACTGGTGGTCAATTAATTAGGAGATCGAAAAAGATTGCTAATAAAATTATTGTAACCTCAAAAATGACAAATACATTTTTTAATTAATTATGATAAGTGTAAAAGTGTGTTGTTCATGATGTATATTTAAAGACATAACAAGATAATTGTCGTCTTTACTACAATTTGTTCGTTTTATATATCCCGCGATGCCGCGTGTCATTCCACTGTTCCTGGTTTTATACCGGTCTAAAATATTATTGGATTGCCTTTAAAAATTCCTTATTAAAGTAGTTATAAAACGTATACTACTATGGCTATGGCTCAGAATTTTTATAAATTATTGCTGAACTAGCATCCCCTGCGACTTCACCCACAAAAAATTATGAAAATTTTATTTTATTATTTACATGTGTCAGATAATGGTCACTTATGGGCTCTTTCCCACGTTAGGGTTTTTATCCAAAATATTAATCCCCTATATTTAATGGCCTGAAAATATATAGCCTAAAGCATGACGTAAATGTAGGGCTTTTTATTATAAATTATTCAAAAATATGCTATAATTGCTGACATCTTAGGCAACAAAGAAGTGTGTGTTTACGCTTTATTATAATGGTATAGATAGAAGTATAGATGAAAATTAATAACGCAAATATATTGTCTGGTAGAATTTTATATCAACACCTAAAAGTCCGATACATGAAGATTATAAGTACTTTCGTTGAGGTAGTCCGTCAATAGAAACCTACTGTTAAATATTTTAAGCATTTTTAACACACTGAAAACTGTCCGTATGAGTTTTCAAAATACATAACTGAACGGACTGAAATCAGCTCACAGCATCTCTAATTATACGCGGCCTTGATTCGAGAGCCGTTACATCTTTTGTGTCTGTACAAATGTCGTAGATGGTACATCCTATTGCTCTAAGACTGTTCCAAAGAGTTTCTCACATTTCATTTTGCAATCTTTAAGATTTGCAAACTTGTGTGTTTCAAGAAAGGAAATAATGTATTGAAGTATGTTGTTTTGGACATTAAAATAATTCTAGCCGCGTAACACTTTAACCACTAACTCCCGCCAAAATGGCGCACTATTCTAATACGTCTGAATGACATTGACAGATGTCATAGGGACGGGACGTATATGCCAATGATCTAGTGTTGCCCCGTTCTCCAACATGGTACCGATTCCCTTCTTAACAGTTGTGTTATTACGTAATTAATTCGTAACATTTGGGGGCGCGATGCTTCAAAATTCAACAATGCGTTCAATTTTCGTTAAATATCCATTCATTGAGTGATATCGGATTCGAATTGCATTTAATGTTCGTTCTTTGAATCACAATTGATGCAAGTTGTACAATTTCATGTAATATGGAAACCACGGATCACTTTCTACTTCGATTGTTATAAAATATCTAGGAATGTCGGTAACCTGGATTTAATTGTTTAAATGAGGTTGTTAGTAAAACACTCATTAACGTGATTTTATAAGTATTTGGGACATGACTAAAAGTCTCTCAGAGTCGTGAAATGGTCTCTGAGATCTGTAGGGTTAGGTTTACTGAACTACGAGACTGGTAATCTAGAGTAGTGATTCCCAAAGTGGTCTATATCGACCCCTAGGGGTCTATGACTGCAGGGGGTCAGGAGGTGTACGTCAGGGAAAAAAAATTTAGGGGTCCATGAAATGTAAATGGGTGTCCACGATAGTAGATCTTAACACATTACACTGATAGTCTCTATTTAATTACATCATACAATCTTATGATATCATAACATATACATTATTTATTTTGAGTAGTTTTAATTTAAATTCAATTAATAAATGTATAAATAAACATGTGTTTATACTATAGATTTTTAACTTTACTACGGAAAATCAATATCAGGTAAGTAGGGTGTCTACCCAACACGGAAAAACATGGCAAGGGGTCTACGAAATAAAAAAGTTTGAGGAACTCTGATATAAAGTGTCATAGTGAATAAGTTCATATTTAGAGAATGTAGTGAAAACAATTCAATATGTAAAGTGTTAACGTATTTGCGTTAAGAATTTACATAATTAAATTTTATTTTAACAGCAAAGCGATTTCTTTTACATTTTATCCTTTTTACTATCAGCTTATATCTTCAGCTTTTAACCCCGGTGGCAATGTTTGCTGATGTTTACTTTTAACGTTTACCCGAGTTTATTGATTTTTTATGGCGGATGAAGCTACTCGCTCGGAGGCTTTTACAATTTAAGCGTATTTAATATATTGACGTTTATTTTTAAACCGTAGTCCAAAGATTTATTTAAATACAGAAATTCTTTACACTTTTTAGGTTATAATTTAGAAATGTGGGTTAGAATGCTTTTTGTTATGGTTTCTACGCATTGATTTATGTGAAATTGATTACATACTTTCGCCCGCGACTCCTTCCGTGTGGTATTAAAAAAAATAGAGATTGAGAACCGTCCGTTTAGGCTACAAACATTGATCCATTTATCTAAACTTTTGCATTCATAATATTAGCAAGATAGTATGAGAATTTCATAAATATTATGACCAATAAATTGTCATTTCTAGTTATTTAAACAGGTAGGTGTAAAAAGTTGCAGTATTGTATTCAAAAGCTTATCCTGTCTAGTTATCCTTGCGAAGGTGATTGCACCTAAATGTGAACTTTGTTATATTTTTATAGCAATTGCCTTCCGATGTAATATTTATATCTGAGATGAAAGATTCGCGAACATTCCATCTTTACGTCGACTTGTTCCTGCTAAATGTCAACATATTTATTGAAAATCAAGAAAGTGAATGGTTTTTTATGTTGATAACATTAAGTGGACAGAGGCGTGGTTGTCTGATAGCAAAAAGTTTATGGTCCAGCTGTTGTTACTGAATTTAATTTGGAAATTACTGTGTAATTTATATTAAAAAAAAAGTTATGATATCATAGGTATCGCTAACCAATTATCTAGGTAAAGTTTAGGAGTGGTGGAAGCTAGGATACAGTCTTATTCTAAGCAGTTTTCGACTATCTATGGTGAGGACTACATTACTCTTTTTATCTTTGGTAGAAAATACATTTTTTTTCCAAAAAAAGTTTATGTAATTTCCTTCTGGATGTTTAATTATTTTTATAGTAGTTATTATAATTTAAACACAAATTCTTTAAGCCACTTAATAGTACTGTAAGAGATTAAATTGAATCGTAACGTAGGGTCAGATGTAACAAGATCATTATGAGCGGGCGCACATCTTTGAACAGGTTGGTTGTAACTAAACAGTTGCATTATCTGAGAAACAATCGACAATCGCAATAGTTTTGCGATAGTTTAGTCAAAGGTGTGCGAACGCTCTAAGTTCACAATAGATTGGTACCGATAGTAACATAAACGAGGCTACAGTGACCTTGACATTGACAAACAGAGCTAACTCCAGCGCCAGCGAGTCACAGTACTTAAAGCTTTTCTAATTAATGCACGGGTTCAAGATACACTAATAAATATTTATACAATGTTCCAAGTCTCTATTATGTTTCTATTTAAAGGTTATTGAACTTTTTATATAAAAAAATCACTGGTATCTATGTTGTCTATGGTCGATTTAGAAAATTTATGGTTTTACGACTTGAATAGTTTTTATATATGATTTGTTTTGCCGTATAGCGTGTCGTAAATATGTATTTTAAATCGTAACGTCTCTAAAAGGAGCTCTACGTAGTCTTGGAACATTTCTTTCTTTAAAGATGGGTAAATTTACTAATGTTTTTAATTTTATGATTGTCTGTTATTGCTTGACACATTGGGGTACAATAGCTAGGCTATAAATTGTGCATTTTAAAACACATTCCGATTTTTCGATCAGTCGTT